TGTGTGTGTGTGTGTGTGTGTGTGTGTGTGTGTGTGTGTGTGTGTGTGTGTGTGTGTGTGTGTGTGTGTGTGTGTGTGTGTGTGTGTGTGTGTGTGTGTGTCGTGCGTGCCGTGCGTGCGTGCGTGCGCGTTAGTTTTAAAGACCCCCATAGAGATCAGTTTATAACTCGAACCCTGGTCGTCGTGGACAAGGTACTCTTTACTAAAGTGAAAATAGTAAAAGCACAGTGTAGAGAATACTCTGCAGGGAGGAAAAGTCCTGCATTAAAAGGTTTACTTAAGCAACTTTTTTCAAATATTAGCATCAGTTTGTACTTTAAGCACATTTAGGAAAAGTAAAAGTACTCAATATGCATTTCACTGTAAAACATAGTGTGTATACTGTAGCTGGTAAAGGTGAATCTTTTTTTTTGAAACAATATTGGGTTACCTTGATATTTTGGTACTTGGATTAGGTTACTGATTACAAAAACATGTTACCAATAATTTTTTCAAGTAAACCTCCAAACCATGATCATGTATGAGTGTTTTGTTATCTTCTGTGATATGTTTGGTATTTTAAATCATGGTAGTGAATCAGAGCAAAGTGTATACAAGTGTTGAGTGTACCATGTGTATGTGTTCGAGTGTGGTTGTGTGTATGTGTCTCAGGCCCCATTGCCCATAAGGGATGGTCGAGTCCCGTCTATCAAATCCAGTGTGTCAGGGAGCAAATTGGAAATGCCAATTTCACTTTACACTGCCCCGCATCTTATCTCCCCCTCACCCTCATCCCAGCACTTAGCTCATGCGTAAATGAATACGGTCCTCTCACACGTCTACCTCCTTCTGATTTCACTCTGCTCCCACCTCTCTGACCACTTCTGCTCCTCATCCTCCTCCTTCTTCTTCTTCTTCTCCCCATCCATCCCACCTCATCTCCTCACTTCCCATTCCTGTCTACATTCTCCCATGCCCATTCAGCTGTAACCCATCTGTTTTTTCTCTGTGTGTATTTATGAAATATGTCTGTTTTTTTTGGTGAATATGGATTTATGCATGCTCGGTCTGTTTCGCCGCCTGCAATGAACAAGCCGGGGAGAATCACTATGCAAATGAAGCGATATCTCATATTCGAGAATTTGCATTGAATCCATTATAAATCAGCAATTTCTCACACTGGTCTTCTCTGTCTGTCTCAGTATGACTACGAGGGTGGGGACATCGGTGACCTCCCCGTCGACCTCTCCGTGGTATGGAATGGGAACTTCGTCATTGACAACCCCTCCAACATTCAAGGTACGACTTTTTTTTTAATCTCCGTTTTTTTACCAAGCTGGAGCTTTGTTGGTTGTCCAAAAAAAGGTTTAATCGACACCGCTTGTTTATCCATCTGTAATGATTTTCTGTGAAGCAAAAATGCCTTGTCCACTTTTTCTGCAATTTCATTTTTGACAGCCATCGGGGAGAAAATTGAAAGTGTACAGTACCATCCATATTCTTGTCTCGGGGTTAAAAGAAAGACAGAGGGAGTGATTGATGGACGGAGAGGATAACAAACAAACATCCCACGGAGAAATTAACAGGGATGGATGTAAGAGGGGAAGATAAACAAATGGCAAAACCAATAGGCAGAAGGGAAAATGGATGGAGGGGAAGAGAGATGGGTGGATGACAGGTTGATAAATGTGGCGTGTAATGGTGGGGACTAGATGAGAATAAACGGATTGACAAAGATAAACAGAAAGCGACATGGAGGGATGGCATTTATTAGTTTTAATCGCTATCTGTGCATGAAATGGAAAACAATTACCAATTCTAAATTCTTTATCAAGTGTAATATATGGAGGCTGTGTGTGGAGGCTAATAGTTTTAGACGTCCCATTACGCAAGTGAATGTAAGTCTTGCTCTGAAGTATTTTGCTTGCCTATAGTAGATTAACTAACATTTTCCAATGTATTCTTTCTCTATTATTCACCATAAGTTTCACCTTTTAGATCAGACATGTTCACACTTTTATATCACATCTGCAATGTAATGTAATGTAACATCTTCTGTGTTCTATCTGACATCATTGTAATACATGTCAAACGTGCAGTTCTTTTTGCAGATTGCTTGGATTTATAGTTACTATCGGTCACAACCTAATTCTCCTGCCTGTGTTATTTTGTTTATAAAGTGCTTTTTAATTTTTGATGTGATGATAGATGGGAATTAAACGTCATGAGCACATGCTGAGAAATACTACATTTGCCACAACACAATGAATAATCACATTTTTGTGCAATCAATGGATCATGTCATCTTAAAAAATGGATTTGATGCCTTTTCCTAATCTGACTGACTAATACCAGCCTACAGTATATCTGATGACACAATCCAATTAGTTCCATCATTGCCGTTAACTTTGTAAGTTGTAACATTGCATAATGGAGCATTTTAGCCAAAACACATGTGTAAACTGAGTGTGTATCTACTATTTACTACTGTTAATACTTCTATTATTGGTAAAATTACAATTTTGCAGTTGCTTGCTGAATGAAATCAAGGTTAGTTTAGGTTGTTTCAGTCAAAATGGTCCACCCTACAATGAAAGGGAACATAGAAGGTTGCTTTCCAACTCAATGTGCCCCGTTTGACTTATCTACGCTGGTATGAAAAAATAGTTATTCCAACTTGAACTTCAAACAACCCGACATAGATTGCCCAGGGTCTCAGTCTGTTTCCAAGTAAACCGTATAAATTACTAAACTTGTTTTCTACCGCTGAACCATGCGGTGCTGATGATGAAGGCTTACAGTCAACCAAACTGTTTCATTTAGAAATCATGTCAGTCTATATTTCTTTATCATTGACATTCATGTTCCCCAGAGGTTCTTTGTTCTAAGTCAATTACCAATTAGCTAAAATAAATGTATGACCTGCCACTGTAAACAATTTTTTTACAACATCTTATAAATATCTGCGTGATATTAGCTATCACCTAAAATAAAAAAAATAATAACATTTACTAAATATCTCAATAAACCATTTGTACCATTGGCTGCCATGGACATTTAGTTCAAATATTCCTGATTTCCTGAGGGTCAATCCTATTGACTTTAATGATCCCATGGACTTTCAGATGGTCCCATCATAAGGTCAATATATTTTAACTTTCAATAAGTTATTGATTATATGTCAAACAACAATCAGATTAGAGAAAGTTATGATTTACCACTGATCAATGTTTAATAATGGCTTTAAATAAATCACAACGGAATCTTATAAAGCATTGGTACCATTGGTTGCCATGGCATTTTGTTCAGACATGCATGTTCACCAGAGGATGAATCCTACTGACAATGGTCCCATTTGAAGATAAAATAAAAGACATGTACACTGCAGACTATTTTACATCTCCAAGATCAGTAGTGTGAAGCAATAACAATAGAAAAAGCAGGATCTTAGCTATCTTTGAATAAAACTCATATCAGAGATGTTGTACATCTGTCGAGGCTCCACAGTGAGGTTTTCCTGCTGAGTTATCCAGCTAACTCCTGAAACACACCCCAGGGATGTGTGCGACAGCAAAGAGAGTTTGGGAGTGTGAAATCCAATGATCTCAGTGTGTGTTCCTGTTATTGGGACTTTGGGTAAGCACAGCAGACCTCTCTCCTCGACTTTCTTGGTGGCATGCATAGAAGGCATGCAGCACTGTAAGCCAGTGGTGTGCTCCTCATAAAAAGACAAAGACAGAATAAACTGAAACAGCTGGCGAGGTTATGGATGAGTAATTTGTTTGAATCAACAATGTTTTCAACCCCCCATAGATCTATTCAAGTTATTGTGCTAAAGCCTCATAGAATACCTATTATAAAACTCTGCATTATAAAACCTCATACAAATCTCATAAAGACCTTCTCCTCCTTTTTCCTCTCCATCCTCTATTAATCCCTCTCAGCTCCGTCCCCGTCTTTTTCTCTTATTATCGTATAAGACCGTATTATCCGTCTGAGGCAGAGGCTGGCCCGGCTTTGCCCTAGTGTAAAGTGGAGATGTTAATGTTAATTAAATCATTCATTTGGTTCAGATTAATTAGCGCCGCGCTACTTTTAAGCCGAGCCGTGGCTAATCAGATTACGCCCGAGCGGAGGGCCGAGGCGGGCAGATGGATACGGAAGAAGCTCGCTTTGAAGTCCGGCCGCCGTCTGTCTGCAGAGGAGGAGGAGATCCCACTCCTTTTTTTCTCTTGCTGTTTTTCCACTTCAGTTCAATTTAAATCTGTTTAGCTAGTGAGACTGCAAACACACCTTTGGCCTTGTTATATCAACTGAGGTAATTAAAATAGAGATTAACAGATCAGAAAAAAAAAGCTTAGAATAACTATCCATTTACCTTGACTTTTTCACTCTTTGCTGTCTTGCTCTCCTTGTCTTGAATTGTGTAGGAATCAGAAATCTTTTATCAATCCCACAGCGGTGAAATCATTCGTTGCCCTATTATGCTCATGTTCAGGTTCATATTTGTATATTTTGCCACTACTGTGAAATGTTAACATGCTATAATGTTCAAAAAGCTCTATATTTTTCTCATACTGCCTGTGCTGCAGCACCGCTTTTCACCCTCCGTCTGAAACCAGAGCCCAGTCTGCTCTATTTTGATTGGCTTAAAGATGAACTGCCACTTAGTAAATCACGTACAGTGTGATAGCCAATAAAATAAGATAAACGTGTTAGCCAATAAAAGGACGACTGTTACATAATGATGTCACTATGTTACTTAAGTAAACAAAGTAGTGTATGGGAGAGAAACTCCCTCTGGAGGGAACACAGGGATTTTAGACTTTGCATACCATTGAAATGCACAAAAACCTATAGAACACACCACAGGGATGGGAAAACCCAAAAAGGATAATAGCGCCTCTTTAACCCTCCTGTTGTCTTCGTTTTCCCCCCTTACTTTGGTGTTCGCGGTCAAATTTGACCGGTCCTGTTTTAACTGCTATTACATTAACACAAAAACCATTAATCATCACCACATTTCATTTAACGCCCTTTCAAACTGTAAATATTGTATCAGACTACCGGTATACATGAAAAACTGCAGTAAATATACAAAGAACAGACACTGAACATGTATTGCGTGTGCCAGGTTTGATCCAAGCCATCCAAAATTCAATGAAAGTGGTGATCAGCAAATGCATACGTTCAAATGTCTACTGTGAAGGATATCATAAAGCCTTAATGCAATCGAATGTAAAACAAAAAAGTTATGATGATGAAAGTAGTACATCGGTCAGATTTGACCCGAAGACAACAGGAGGGTTAAAAGGGGTAGTGCAGATAAAAAGACAAATACCATAAAAAGCTAATAAATAATTATAGCACAAGTTCATAAAATCCAATAAGTACATATACATAGTAAGAAGGAATTGAAATTGGTAGCAGTATTATGAAATACATAAACACATAAATTGCTTGTTTCTCTCCTCAAATAGTTTCCTCTCTGTTCCTCTCATTGTCTGGGCCTCGCGGGGCCTCACCATCTTTACATTCATAACTATTTGTGTTGCTGTTTTGTTAACAAGCACAGCTAAAATGTATCTCCCCCCTCCCCCCGCCCGCCTTTCATCTCCCGCTTGTCTCTCGTCTCAGGTGTTTAAGGTTTTTAATTATTTTTTTATTTATTACTTTTAATGACTTTTTCCACTCTGCAGAGTTAAGGGAATGCTTTTATTTTTCTTCGACACAACAGATTATCAATTCCCTATTGACGTTAGAAGACATTACCTGTTGAATTAATTTCTTTAATATCCCTCTAGGTTGCTTGTTCCTTTTTTTACTCCTACTTATCCATGGCAACAGATATTTCCTCATCGTCACAGCTTGGTAGTGGTAATATTTCTTCACTGTAGGTGTTTTAACATTCATTTATGCAGTCCCCTCTGAGCTTCAAGACACACATTTTTGATTACTTTTTGTCGTGCCAGCCTTGCTTTTAATTCAAATTAACAACTTACATAACTTTCTGTTTACCAGAATAATATTTTTCAAGCACTATACCGAAGGTTACACACAATAGAGCAACCCTAATACATGTTTATATACAACACCAAGCAAAACAATGTACTCTAGCTTGGTGTAGAAAATAAAGTGAAAATAATTTTCTTTGAAAAATTAAAACATAGGCATAGCTGACTTGTTAAAGCTTAACTTAACCGATCAGAGCAGACTGGGCTCTGGTTTCAGACAGAGGGTGAAAAGGCAGTATTAGAAAAATAAAGAGCTTTTTGATCATTAAAGCACGTAAATATGTC